TGGGGAGACAGCTGCTCCTTTAGCTCTTCCCATGCTCTGGGGCTTATCCAGGCTAATGGAGAATCACAGTTCATTATGCACCTTCTTCCTCTGCCCCCTGTGAGAAAGCTCCAGTGTATATCAGGTTTGGAATAGGAGCATCATTGCTACCGAAGCTGCCAAAATAAAGCTGCCAGCATCCTATGGAGGAGTCAAGGGATTTCAGTATTTGTAAGAAAATGTGCCCTGACCCCAGAAGAAGGCTAGAAGGGAATTCAAGAGTGCAGGGGGGGAAAATTGGTGTCATCCACTAATTCTACCCTGCTCTTCATGAGGAAGGCAGCAGCAACCATCTATTAAGCTCTCACTATTTTCCAGGCACTATGTTAAGCCTTGTATACACATTAGTTCATTTTATATCTTAAAACAATCCTAAAGAATTGGTACTGTTCTTGCCCTTATATGTAAGATGAGGAAATAGAAACAGGGGATTACATATGCAAAATAACTTGCCTAGAATCAGATGGCAAGTAAAAGAGCTGGCATTTCGATCTGAGTCTCAATACTAAGGCCATCTTCATACCTGCTACCAGCACAGCCTTCAAGAAAGGAAGAGTTGCCATTCATTTCAAAGATGAAAGCAAGTCGAGGAGGGCTTTGCTGTGCGAGGAAAGGGAAATAGGAAAGAACAGAGGAAGAAAATGGCAAATATCTAAATGATCAAGATTCAGTACCAGCCTGGCCGGGCGTGGCTCAGCAGTTGAGCACCGACCTAGGATCCAGGAGATCGAGTTTCGATTCCCGGTCAGGGCACATGCCCGGGTTGCACGCTCCATCCCCAGGCGGGGGCATGCAGGAGGCAGCCGATCCATGACTCTCTCATCATTGATGTTTCTCTCTCTCTCTCCCTCTCCCTTCCTCTCTCTGAAATCAATAAAGATATATTTTCTAAAAAAAAAGATAATACCTTTCCAAATTAGGTACAGGTACATGAAAGTATAAACTGAAAAATCATAAGGGCATCCTTATGATAATTAGGACATATCTTTTCTTATAGATATTTATTTCTAGAGAAAAAAAAGGTAGAAGCATTTAGAAACTCATTTTCAGAGAAAAAAAGATTTATATAAAAAGAGAAACTTTTTGAAACATCTGATGCAGAATCAATCACAGTGCTCCATAAGAAATGCCACTCTGCAAGAAACGAGGCCCCTGCTTTGGAACCCTGACTAACAAAAGAAACAATGCCTAGAGTGAGTGCTCACGTGTGAGGTTTGAGTTTGATGTGATTTGAAAAGCTTGAGTAATAAACTCCTGAAAAATGGAGTTTGGTAATGAGCAAGCCTTTAACGATATAGACATGTTGCCAGGTACCACTTTAATAAACTATTACAAATGATCGATGCAAAGGTGTTCCCAACAGCTGTTTATGCAATGTGGCCGGAAGAATTCTTCCATAAAGAAGCTGTTAGTAGGAAAATTGGCTATGCATGGTTGTGATGTCAAATTCATACATAACAAACTTTTTCCTGTCAATCAACAATCTTGCCATAAATTGATCCATTTCTAACAAGCCTTTTTTTGAATTGACAACTTCAGTGTGAATAATAAAAGGGACCCTTTAAAGAGAGGGAACTCCAAATGGCTTTTTGCAACTCTTTAACACATGGGGAGAAGTGGCAGAGCTTTGTGACTTTTAATTTATATTGGAACCGGTGAGCAGCAGCTCCAAACACCACGGTAGCTTTTCAAAGGGAGCTGAATACAACAAAGCCAGGTGACCTCTTAGGTCTGGCTTAGAGAAGTTAAGCTCATGTCCAGTGATAGAAACAAATGTTAGGGCATTTTCCTCGACTATCCAGGACACAACAGTCAAGTGTAGGTGAGGTACTATGTAAATACACTCTGTTTCCGCCCAATGAGGCTGCCAGCACCAGAGCCCCACTCAGGTGAGTGGGGGGGTGGCCAGTGTCATCACAGTCGGTACATCAGACAGACCCTTACAGCCTGCTGTTGGGTTCTGTTGTCCCAGCCCTTGACCGTGCCTTTCACCCAGGCTGTTGCTCAAACTCAGTATCGCTGGTTTCTGATGTTTTTCCCCCAAAAAAATTTAATTGACAAAAATTGCAGGGTTGTAAAGAATGCCTAAACATTCGGTAGATGTTTCTATGTGCTGGATAAAACAATACCTAAGGCAAGGGTTGTATTCCTAAAGATAGCTAGAGATTGGAGACCATAATCTGTTCAGGGATCCCTAACCCACCATTTCTAACTGCAGAGTATTTTTACCTTCATGTATTATAATGGCCACTATCATCACTAAAGACAAAAAAACCCTGACTAACCTGGCTATTTTTCATGTCTAAATTCAACATGCTTTGTCTTCTAGTGAAATAACATCTATTTCTGGAGGCTTCACCACACTATTGTCTGTGTCCATGGGTTATGCATATCATATAAATTCGTTGGTTAATCTATACCCCCAGCCCACCCCACCTTCCCTCTGAGATTCGTCAGTCTATTCCATGCTTCTGTGTCTCTGGATCTATATTGTTCATCAGTTTATTTTGATCATTAGATTCCACATATGAGTGAAATCATGTGATACTTGTCTCTCTCTGACTGGTTTATGTTGCTTGGCATAATACTCTCCAGGTCCCTCCATGCTGTCTCAGTGGGTAAGAGATCCTTATTTTTTATAGCTGCATAGTATTCCATGGTGTAAATGTACCACAGCGTTTTTATCCAGCGATCAGCAAGGAACAGACTTGGAGAGTGCTAAATGCAGCTTTTGGCAAAGCTGTGTAAATGGCACGCCCATATTATCTAGCCTTCCCTTCCTTACTTTCTTGTTAAATAATAACCAGATTATTACAATAGTATCACCCTGACCAGAAATCAAACTGAAAATATTTTGGTGCACAGGATGACGCTTAATCAATGGAGCCACATAGGCCAGGGCCCATTTTTAATTTTTTGAGGAATCTTCACGCTGCTTTCCACAGTGGCTGCACCAGTCTGCATTCCCACCAACAGTGAACAAGGGCTCCCTTTTCTCCACACCCTCACCAACTTGTTGTTTGTTAATTTATTAATGACAGCCATTTTGACAGCTGTGAAGTGATATCTCGTTTTAATTTGCATTTTTCTGTTGACTTGCATTACTCAGACATGTGATTACCAGAGGAAAAGGAAGGCGGGGGAAGGTAGAAGAAGGTAAAAGAGGAATAAATGGTGATGAAAGAAGACTTGACTTGGGGTGGTGAACACACAGTACAATATACAGATGGTGTATTTTAGAACTGTACACCTGAAACCTATATAATTTTATTAACGAATGTCACCACATTCAATAAAAAAAATATTCTCATCTTTTAATACAACCATATCTTGCCTCACAGTGCTACCAAAAGCCAAAAATGCTAGTGTATTCAAAGAGACTATTACAGCCTGGCCATTCAAAGCAGGTAAAGGAAAGCTGTATTTATTTTTAAGAAATGCGTTTGTCCAAATCGTGAAGAGTAATTTATATATTTAATGTTGATGACATAATAACTTGCTCATCCTCAGTAACTCAGTTACCTTTCTGAAGTTATCGCCAGAACAGGAAGACTGTGTGGACCCGCTTGAAGCTAAATGTGACTCCTGCCCCTTCTTGCTGTCTCTTCGGTATTCACCGAGCTCTCTCCACAGGCCGGTTCGAGGAAGCCGTGTCATCTTCAAAGCCAGGTTTTTTCGAGCTATGGCACTCCAGCTAGACCCCAATGGCAGGAGAAAGGTGGAGCAGGGAGTTACCAGCAAGACTTATTTTGTATTCCTTCACAAATATTTACTGAGGGCCAAGTGCTTTGTAAGTGTCAGGGTTCCATCAGTGGCAAAACACCTAAAAACAGACAAAAACCACTATCATCATGGGGGCAGTCGATGCAAGCAATCCCTCTGACACCATCATAATAATCTGGCTATTATTTAACAGGAAAGGGGTGAAAGGAGAAACCAGATAATATAGGCATGCCATTGACACAGCTTTGCTAAAAAGCTACATTTAGCACTGTCCAAGTCTGTTCCCCGCTCATGGATGGGGCAAGGGACTGGACAAAGGCAGTTTAGACACGTGCCCAGTAAGGTCTGAGTGATGTGAGAAATGCTGGCCTGTCACTCACACCTGGAAAGGTACTTGGCCACCGCAAGCTTGGGAAACCTAACTCTTTAAACTTCCAAACAAAGGAGGTTCCCTCTCTCTTGGCGCCAGAGCCCTGGGCCCCCTTGGGGCTCCTGCAGCAGCAGCCTGCTCCCCTCACACGGACTAAAGGACTTTACCCGGCCTACATGCTAAACCACGCCCCGCTACAAGCTGGAATGCCACCTCTGGACACTGGCCCTGGCTTTGCTGAACTCCTAGCTGCCCCTTTTCCCGGACTGGCTTAAGGGGCAGGGGACTTTGGATCCCAAGAAATGTAAGTTTACGCAAATAAAGCCTTCGTCCACATTCCAACCTCCCATGCGAGTCTTAGGAAATTCGTTTTCTGAAGATATCACAAGACCCTCACTCTCATTCGTGTCTGGGAAGGCTGGCCCTTTAATTCCTCTGGCATCACCATCTTCTTCATGTCTACATTTTATCTTATGACTCTGAACTGATTTCGGAAATGGAAAAGATGAAGAAAGAGCCAAAGAAAGCATGACTGAAAAAGAAACGGAGGACAGGAAGTCAGGGAGATGGGCTTGACTTAGGTTAAGATTGGAGGTTCCTGCAGAGGCCCCTGCTCTCTGTCTCCCCTGCATCTTTTACTTTGGACACTTCATCACCCCCCAGCCACGAGCAGCTTCTCTGCAGGAAGCAGCAACCCAAAACAGGCCAAGTTTACCATTTGTAAATATCTAGCACTTGCCCAAATCCCTAAAAAACAACAACGGAGCACGTATTGCCTAGGTGGATAAATTGTCATCCTTAAAAATCCGTGTATAAAGAAGACTAGTACCTGTAATCCCAGGTCATTACACGGCTCCGCCGATCTGGAGGTTCGTGTTAGCAGCACCGCCAGCCCTTAGCAGGGCCAGGCGCCTCCTGTTGCCTGCTCGCACCGTTGCTTAATTTCACACACCCTATTTAATTCAACAAGGGTGTGTTAGCAAAACCTGTCACCAAGTTTTCTGAACTTATTACTATTTGATCGAACGATACTTTTCCCAAAAAAGACATTTAGAGAGCACTGACAAGAGCCAAAAGCTTAGGTGAACGTTTTTTGCTTTTTATAGTTTTAAATTAGGAGCGCGGCAAAGGGAGGTTTTAGGATAAAGTTACTGTAAATAAGATCTTTGTCTCTCAATGAGACTACTTCCTCAAATCTGCCTTTTCTTTTTGACTGGAACTGTTCAGCCCCACTTTCAGTGAAATTCAATCACGTTCATTAGCATTTCTAAAGACGTAAGCTACTCAAAACAGCTGCATTGTCTTTCCTTTTCAACTAAAATGCAGCTTTTCCTTCAGAAGGGAGAACTCTCCCTCTGGTTACCCAGTTCTTTCTGCTTGGCACCCATTATTTTCAATGGCAGAGCCACCCCCGTGACACAGGAAGTGCAATCCCATTTGATCTCACTTGAAAGAAATTGTAAATACTTGGTAAGGGCGGAAACTGTGGCTCAAAGAAGAATACAACGAAATAACTGTGGAAGCTAAAAAAAAAAAAAAAAAAAAAAA